TTCCCACCAGATGGCGCTGTGGAGTCCGTGTTTTTCTCTACTTGTTTTCCCTGTTTAAATTTACAACATGTTTAACGGAAGCGCTTCTTTGAAGTGTCTTCGATCCAGCCTATGTATTTACTGCATGGGGGGAAGGTGTGAAAAAAGTCCAAAGACTGAAAGTTCAAAATTAAATGAAAGCACATTTGCCAGGTCTCTCTCTGCAGATCTTTGGGAAAGAGCAGTTCAGGATGCTTCCCTTTCCCGCCTGCCCCGTTCAGCTTTTGACATGATCGGATTCTGCTGCCGCTCTGCATTTTGATTGATTGATTGATTGATTCTTTCTTTGCTGAGGTGTTTTGGTTTCATATACTGACATTCTGCAGTACCCTTGGGAATCTGCATGGTTAAGAGGTGGGACATAAATATATTTAATAATAATAATAATAATAATAATAATAATAATAATAATAACTCCTTCATATCTGAATTGTGTCATACTTGTTGAAATAAAAAGGACAGCAAACAAAACGCATAAATAAGAAAATATTCCATTGCATTTTCTCTTCTCTTTGTGAACTGATTATCTTCAGGATCAGATCTGAGCACTGCTCTTCTTGCCTGTAACCATCAGTGCTCCCATTTTTAAAGCAGCAATGCTTGCACCCCATAATTACAGAATACACTGTTTGCAGAACATATCTGATAGTTTATGCTCTACTTCTGTTATTTTACTGACACAGTTTTCTGTTTTGTGATATATGCAAAACACTTAACCAATGCAAAAAAGAGAGAGCTCTCTCTTCTGGAATTCTTCAGTCGCAAAAATTCTTAAACCTCTCTGGGTTTTCTCTTCTGATTATCGTCTCCTTTTCCAACATCTATCTTATTCCTAATCTTTCCATCATGTCAGGCAGATCGTTAATCATGCTGCACATCTGCTTTGGGTTTCAGGATGATTCTAGTTCAATAAAATATAGTTTCTTAACCCATGTTTTTCTGCTTTGTACTCTGGATTTGTGATAATTTCTTTTGGCATCTCAGATTCTATGGAGCCCAGAGTGTATAAAACGTATGTTATCTACACATACTGGTTTCATAAACTGGAATTGTTTCCGTATCTGTTTATACAGATTGCACAGATCCATTATAAATAAGAATGCCATTTGTCACCTTGCAAGCCTTTCTTCTAAGGATGGAATACATATATCTGTTCCTTACTGCTCCAGAGCACTGACATCTTAGCTCAGCTTAGCTGGGCAATGGCAGCTGGTAATATTTTGATTTCATAGGGTTGCAGTTTTCATCTCAACAGAAATTGCACAGCACTTATTTAGTCACTGCGCATGTGCAGAGTGCCATTGTCTCCTCCTCTCTAAACCCCACTCCCCAAATGTTCTCTCCACGTCTATTGACAAAGAAACAGCTCCAATGTAAGAGGCCCAAGTATGATTTCCAGACAAGATTGACTCCATACCTCTTACTTAGAAATTAAGCCAAGACACACAGCATAAGTTTTCAAAATTTACATCTATGCATCCATTGCCCTCAAAAAACCTAAACATAAAAACTTTTAAAACGCAACAAAGGCTTTCTTTCCGTTGCATGTAGTTTTCCTTCCCCCAAAAATCTAAGTATTCATTATCCAAAACATTGTTTTCCTCTAAATTAAAAGAACAGACTCTTCCAACCAGTAGGAGAAAACATGATTGTTTCATTTGAGTCAGGATACAACAGAACACACCAGAAAATATTTGCCATGCATGACTCGGTCCTGAAAATGTGAAGCAACGATCTCTGTTCATGTGCAGAGTTCATAGTACCACAGTGATTGTAGTCAACTCTATAATGTCTGAGTTTGGGGGAATGTTTCCAGGTTTGGGGAAGGATATGAAATCGTATCCAGAAAGGCAAAGACCCCAAACTATTCACTTCAGAAATTCACTAACAAACCCACAAAGAATAAGGGAGAAATAATAGGGACCAGGGAAGTGGCTTACTGGTAAAACGGATCCACATACCTTTTCTGAAAACGAGTCTGGAAAATACTCTGGAATTGCAAATGGCCCAGTATCTACCTTACCTACCCTACTCCACCCTGCAGCTGCAGTAGTTTTTAATGAGTGAATATAGGAAAATGGTTGATACAGAGCTTATTGCAACACACAAGCCACCCTCTCAATGCCCCAAACTTACCGGTATTTTAAAAGTAAAAGTAAAATGAAATATAGCTATTTATTGTAGAATGAGACTCACTGTAGTTCACAGTGGTCTTTGAGATGCTCTTGGACTACAACTCCCATAATCCCTGACCTTGCTGGCTAGGTCTGGTGGGAATTGTATTTCAACAGCATCTGGCAGCCCCCAAGTTCCCCAACCCTGCTCTAATGGAAGTGACTGAATTGGACTGCAATTTTGTGCACGCTTAACTGGGGGCAAAGGGACGCGGGTGGCGCTGTGGGTAAAACCTCAGTGCCTAGGACTTGCCAATCATATGGTCGGCGGTTCGAATCCCCGCGGCAGGGTGAGCTCCCGTCTTTCGGTACCAGCTCCTGCCCACCTAGCAGTTCGAAAGCACCCCTAAGTGCAAGTAGATAAATAGGTACCGCTTTATAGCGGGAAGGTAAACGGCGTTTCCGTGTACTGCGCTGGTGCTGGCTCGCCAGAGCAGCTTCGTCACACTGGCCACGTGACCCGGAAGTGTCTCCGGACAGCGCTGGCCACTGGCCTCTTAAGTGAGATGGGAGCACAACCCTAGAGTCGGACACGACTGGTCCGTATGGGCAGGGGTACCTTTACCTTTAACTGGGGGCAAGCTACCGTGGGACTAACTTCCGAGGAAGCAAGTCTAGGCTTACGCTGTTAAGCTTAGCAATGAAGAGGGCTTTGATGGGAGAGCAGCATGCAGAGCCCTCTCTCAAGTGTCTTCTTAGGGGTGAGAAAACAACAGTTGGCCAGAGGCTTCCCTCTCCATTCAGCGAGGGATACTCAGCAGCTGCCGTAATCATATGCCGCAACTCTTAACATGACCTCATTTAGCTTGATAAATTAACTGAGTCCTGCAAGGCTTTCTTAAGAGAGCAGCAGGATGCTTATGAGTGATGTAAGTACACTTTATTCCACAGACTTATTTATGTAGGCAGCGGATTCCGAGAGCATATTTATGGTGCAGACAAATTTGGCTTAGGCAGCTGGAACTCCGTACTTTTTTCGCAAATAATCACTGGAATTATCACATTAGTTTTGGAAGATGATATGAGTGAAACTGACAGATAGAAGACCTAAGGGCTTAGGAGGCTTAATTTCATCCTAAAACCCATCCCCACCAAATGTTTTCAAATTGACATCACAGGCTTCGGGATTATGCACTATTGGCACTTCCTTGTGAGCAGAGTTGGAAGTGGAAAATAAAACCAACAGTTACCTAACTGCTTGATTTGATGGGTGCAATCAATCAAAAAGTTTTGAAGTGACTGGTTAAATGTGCCTTATTAAATCAAAATATACCTTGAGTTAATCAAGTGGCTGCATACTTAAGTCACCATCCTTCAAGGGACGCTTCTCTGCAAAAAGTGCCGGACCAATATATTTTGCTGCCTGAGGCGAAGGACAAGGTGGCGCTCTCCCTTTTCCAGACGTTGAGAGAAGAGAGTTGACTCTTATGTCAACATTGCCAACAGGACTTCATGCTCCACAGCAGGCTAGCAGAGCACATATTATTTATTGTTATTATTTTAAACTTATTTCTTTCATTTGTTTCCCATAAGGCATCCCAAAGTGATTCACAATATAACAACCTATATAACATCTTTTTTTAAAAAGCACTTATAAGCACTTACAGTGCCTGAAACTATAGACACAGATATGGGAGACACATGCTTTATTGTCGGTGGGGCAGGTGAAGGTGTCTGGTTTTGCTGCTGCAGATGAACCATGGCATTTATTTTCTCTGCGCTCCTCCCAGCGGTCATTCCTCCACTGGTCACTGCTCTGGATGCACAACCTGACTGCCCGTCGTCAGGCACATCAATAATTACAAGCACAATTTTACTAGAATTAGATATCACCCTCAAAGGCAGAAAATGAAGGTTCAATTAATAGGGCAAATGGAAATTTAGACAGCAGTTCTTTATACAGCTGCTGCCCACAACTACCAATATTTTGGAGGCATAACAGACAGCAGCAATTTGGCATGCTGGAATGCTATGTATATATTTATATAGAGAGAGCTAGATAGGGAGGGAGAGCAGCTTTTCCTGCAGTTGTTGGGACCTTGAGAATTGACTTGAGAAAGGATGCTGCCAGCGGGTTCCGTTTTTTCAGAGCCGTCAGCCAGAAGTCCCTTACTCTGTCATATGCTGATCTGAGGACATTTCAGTCTCCTTACCTTCATCACTCCTGCCCAAGTCAAATAAAAATGTGTCTGGCATCTATGCATAATCAGTTGTGTTTTTTTGGCAAGGAACTTTTTCATTGGTTGGTTTAAGTATTTTTCTTAAAACACTTTGTGGAATTGAAGGCTTCAAAAACATGATCAACAGGTATTCAGTTTTGAGATTTCAAATGCACATCCTGGAAAACAAATCATGTGCAAAGCAGCCTCCATGCGCATTTTCCCATGTATTGATTTATATGCAGCATTCCTTTTCTCTATACAGGCAAGAATGTCAACTCCGTCCTCCTGCATCAGTAACATCCTCTTCACATTTGTTAAGCAAGATTTCACTGTGGGGCTATTCCATGACTGCCACCACAATTGCTCGGACAATCCTATTCACTGTTGCACACACTTTTCCTGGGGTGGACAATTTTCGATCTCCAAGGACAATTCAAGATAAAGGGCCAATTCAGAATCACAACAATAAGACAATTGCCATGGGCAGCGTATTTCTCCTGAAAAGCATATTTAACATTTTGCATTGTATGATGTGAATTGTATTGTACACAAACAATATACACCTTTGTTAAGAGGACAACTGCTGCCTCTAGAATAGTCAACTTTTTTTTTGCAGTGTTTCCCCCCCCCAAGGAGGGGCATTGTTGTCTTCTGAGCTGCTGATGTAACGCCTTGCCATCGGCTTATACCTCAACGCTGGTGAGGGCTGGGTACTTTGCATAGATCACAGGTGAGTTTGGTCACTCAGGGATAATGTAATCCAACAGCTTGAAATGACTTGAGACTGGGACCCCAGAACCCACTGGCTGAGAGAGGCATGTCCCTGTCTTCCAAGGAGCTCCTTTGGAAGGAGTTGTTGCTGGTGTACTACAGTTATGAAGGGACACAGTAAAAGCTTGCAACAAAAAAGTGGAAAAGCCCTGCAGGATTTACCCAAGTGTTATGTCCTAAATCCTGCCCACATGGCCCTCAGACGTATTACTGGAACCGCAAACATTTTACAAACCAATTCTTTCCTTACTGTTCCAAAAATAGTAGATGCTGCACTGTTGCTTTAAACACAGCCCGTGGTATGCTGAATCCCAAGTACTCTGTTCACTGATCCAGCAGCTGCTAGGCTCCTTGGATCATGTGTCAGTTGGCTCCAACATGTAGTCCTTGCAGCATCTAAAACAATCTTAGGATAAGCAGTTAAGTTTTAAAGAACTTTATTTTCAACTTGTTTATTGCTTCCATGATATCCTCTATAAAAAGTAACAATTGATACATAATAAAAACATTAATAAACCCACCAATACAAGATCAAAGTGTGACATTTCTTGTATATAACTTTTCACAAAGCCTAGTGCTGCGTTTGTTGGAGCCCAAGTGTTTGAATATCCCCAGTCACATTTCTATTTAGCATTATCGTTTTGTCTAAATTCCCTGTTTCGGCTTTCAAAACGTTCAGCAGCATCCTAGAGCTTTCCAAGATCTTCTCGTAAGTCAACGCTGCTTCGGCAAGAACTTCGTCAAGTTTCTTCTGTGCAGCATTTTTCTGTGCTAAGTTTTCACACACGCAATCCAGTTGTTTTGTCAGTGTCTCGATTTTATCCTGGATCCTACTCTTTTCCTCTTCCGCTTCCCTGATCTGCTTGCTCACTTCTTCTCTTTGCATGTACAAGTCTTCTATATGTTTCACAAGTTCGTTATTATAGCCTTGCAGAACAGCCCCCTGGTGAGTCATCCTGCTGGCTCCACCCTTCAGAGAAGGAAATGATCCTTGTTTCCACCAGCTGATCTCACCACCGTCTGCCTGTATTTTGTAATTTAAATGGAGGAAAGAAAGAAAAATTGCTAAGTGCTTTTGAGCAACACTGTAAAACCAGCACATACATAATGGAAATGTCAATAGCAATTGTAGAAAATGTGAATAAGGAAACCATTTGAGTAAGTTTCCAAGGATCCTATTTTGCCATTACTTTTAACTTCTTCCACTCTGACATGCAAGTGGCCAATGGTATTTTCCAAGATGTTATGAAGCTGCTGATATTTTGAGACGGCTCTAAAATGTGTGCACTTAAGTGCTGTGTGCAAGAGAATGTGTAGATGCACAACTCCATGTATGAATGATGCAGGAGTGAAATTTTATGAATGCATGTGCCTTGATAGGCATGGGAGAGGAGCACTGAGGAAGAACAGAATAGGGGAAAGAATTGAAGGATTAATCTCCCCTTGCCCTCCCTGCTTCTCTCACAAGGTTCTCATGCTAATAATAATAAGTCTCCGCCTCCCTTCAATTCAAAGTGTTGGTGCTGACCTTTAAAGCCCTAAACAGCCTCGGTCCTGTATACCTGAAGGAGCGTCTCCATCCCCATCGTTCAGCCCGGACACTGAGATCCAGCGCCGAGGGCCTTCTGGCGGTTCCCTCATTGCAAGAAGTGAGGCTACGGGGAACCAGACAGAGGGTTTTCTCGGTAGTGGCGCCCACCCTGTGGAACACCCTCCCATCAGATGTCAAGGAAATAAGCAGCTATCCTATCTTTAAAAGACATCTTAAGGCAGCCCTGTTTAGGGAAGTTTTTAATATTTAATGCTGTGTTGTTTTTAACACTCAATTGGGAGCTGCCCAGAGTGGCTGGGGAAACTCAGCCAGATGGGTGGGGTATAAATAATAAATTATTATTATTTGTCCTAGGATAGGGCCATTAAGGTGCTCTCTAGCTATAGGATGGCTTAGAACAGTAAATACACTGGCAACATGTGCACCAGACTATTCAGGATTGATTTACTGCAGTTTAAGTAAGGTTTCTGGGGAGATTTGCAGGGTTTGAGGGTGCTGAGAAGAATCCAAGCCTGCCTAAGCATTTGCTTCCTTACCTCTATAGCGCCTGCTTAACTTGTATGTTTGCTGGTAATATAACGTAATGCACCATTAAGGCTACCTGTACTAGTAGCTCAGCTGTGCTTAACTCCTAAATAAATACACTTAGGGTAATACAGCAAGTCTCCAGGGCACTTTTCTCCCACAATTTCTGGAACGGCTGCCTTAGGATTCTGACCCTGGGGTTGAAAGGAGTGGAGTGAGAAATAGGCCAGCTACTAGAACTTTTCTGTCTGGAGGGCTCAGGCGTCTCACCTTCGAGGGAGAGGCCCCTTCCTGTGCAACCCACAAGAGAGTAGTCCCCAAACTCATCCAATCTCAGTCTGCAAACAGGGACTCTACTACTTTTGATTTTGTTGCTAGAGGAATCCTCCAGCACAGGCGCCTGCGCAGGAGTAAGTTTGGCTTTTGAAAGCGCAGCATTTCAAGTGCCCTTGAGGGAGAAGATCCCTACTCTTTCCTGCACATCCATAAAGGGGAAAGGGAGCTTCGCGCTGGCTGCACAGTGGTACCTCGGGTTACATACGCTTCAGGTTACAGACTCCGCTAACCCAGAAATTGTGCTTCAGGTTAAGAACATTGCTTCAGGATGAGAACAGAAATCGTGCTCTCGCAGCACGGCTGCAGCGGGAGGCCCCATTAGCTAAAGTGGTGCTTCAGGTTAAGTACAGTTTCAGGTTAAGTACAGACCTCCGGAACGAATTAAGTACTTAACCCGAGGTACCACTGTATTCTCTCTCCCCTCGAAACCTTCCGCTAAAGCTGCAAAAGAAATGCAAGCAGCGGCGGCGCCCAGCCACCAGTTGGCGGAGATGCCTCCCCGGCAACCCGCCCTCCTTGCTTCGCCTCCGCGCTGCGGGCAGCTGTTTTCCCCCGGACCCAGAATAGACCAGCGGCCGCCCACGTGCCTCCCAGAATAGCTCCGTTGTCACCCTCCTTCCTGCCGCGGATCGCTCGGAATGAGGCGCCGAGAGGGGGCGGGGCCCGCAGCAGCCACTGGGCACCTCGGCGCGGACACAGGGAAGCGAACACCTCCGCGCCTGCGCACTGCGAGCGTTGAGGCCGCGGCGGCCCTTACTTCTTCCCCTCCCGCAAGCAAACGCCCCGGCGGGTTGATGCGGCGTCAGCCCTGCCCAAGTCAAGCGTTAGTTGTTTGGAAGCAAAGGCGCCTCTTGCTCAATAAGCCCGCCCGGGACTGTAGCTTCTGCAAAGGCTCGCTCGGAAATCTGTGCCCCGCTTCAGCTCGGTGGAGCTTGGAGTAAATCCCATTTAGGTCCATAGGCGCTCACTCTCGGGCAAGCGGGATGGGATCGCGCCTTAAGCGCCCACAGAGGGCTCTGGGCGAAGCGTGTCTACCTAGTTACCTGGGAACACGCATAAGTGAACACGTTTTACTCCTGGATAGGCATGCAAATAGGACGTTTTCGTGTCCCCACCCCAGAAGGCTTTCCTTGGAGATAACTATTGTACAAACTACACACAGTGCAGAAATGGTTCTGGTGACGTTTTGTTTTAAATTACAGGGGCTTGGACTAGATGACCCCCGGGCTTCTTCCAACTCTATAATTCTACGAAAGTCCCATTCATAGCTACATTTTTCTAGTTCTCCATCCTCACCTCCGGTAACGCCCACTAAATAACTCCGGTAACTTCGGCTTCGTCGGGGATGGAACAAAACGCGTTTCTGTTATCCCAGCAGAGAACGTCGTTCAGCCGAAACAGGAACCAAAGAAAAACTCCAAGCCACCTAGCTTGAATTTATCCACCACTTTCCGAGCGTATTTCCGGAGCTCATTCTCGGAGGATTAAGTTGGGGGGAATAACCGATTGTGGCGGCGTTTCTCCTTCCCCTTGCGGAAATAGTCGAAGTGGAGATAGCGATCCGTGACGGAGACAGCCGGTGCCGCCCGAATGCGAGGGCTGCAGGCTGCACGGAGACTACCGATGTTTTCCGAAACTGCAGCGACCGAACAGAGAGCGAAGGGAGGCTAAAAAAACCCCAAACAACCCAAGGGGGGGCTTGTCGGAACCTGACGGAAATGGTCGATGTTTCCCGAAGGAACTCGCCTTAGCATCCGGAAGGGAGGAGGCGGGGCATAGACTTAAGAAAGAGGGTGGGTTCAAAAAAGAAAAAAGGACTGGCTGGAATGGGAGGAGCTTTGGCGGAAAGAGCCGATATCAGCCGACGTTAAGCGAAGGCGGCGGCGTCCGAGTTTCCCGGATGTAGTCGGACGGCGGTAGTGTTGGGAGCTGGAGCTGTAGCTGAAGGGAGGGGGGAGGAGGTGTTGGCGGCGGCGGCGGCGGAGGGCGAGCGAGCGAGCGAGCGAAGGCGGCCAGTGGCAGCAGCGGAGGGGACGCGGCCGCCTTGTGCCTCCCGCGCCCCGCTGTGCGCGTGTGTCCGTCCTGCGGGGGCGCCTCTCCTTCTCGCTGGTGCGGAGAGGAGGAGATGGGCCCGTGAGCGCTGCTTCCCCTCACAGCCGAGCTGCCTGAGCCGCCCCTCCTCCGCCTCCTCCTCCCTCCCTCCCCCTCCTCCTCTTCCCTGTCCCCGGTCGGAGCGCTGCCTCCCCCTCCCCCCTCGGCGGCGCCCGTGGCCCGGCCGCGCCCTCCTGGTCCCCTCAGTCTCTCACACACAGGCCGGGCATTGATGGTAATGTATGCGAGGAATAAGCAAAGACTCAATGATGGGTAAATAACCCCCTTTCTCGTTCCGCCCTCCTCCCGTCTTACTCTCTCTCTTCTCTCTCTCTTTTTCCTATCCCCCCCCCCACCCTCAATACCAACGGCCAGTAACGGTCGCTCGCTAACGTAACGTCTTTTTCTCCTCTCTTTCCAGCTGTCACGACCGCAAGGGGGACTCGCAGCCCTACCAGGTACCGACTTCTTCGCCCGCCGCAGCCCCACACACCGATAGGCCCCTGCGGCGGCGGCGGCGGCAGTAACTGGAGTGTGGGAGGGCGAGCGAAACTACTCGAGCGCAGGCCTCGGCCGCCGCTGCAGGCCGCGGGGGAGGGGAGCCAACCGCTTCCCTTCGCTCTGCTCCGCGCGCGGCGGGCCGGGAGGGGGCAAGGGGGCGGCGGCGACTCTGGCTCTTGCTTGCTCTCTTACCCCCGCGACCGCGAGGGCTTGAGCGCGAGCTGAGGCGGCGAGAGGCGCTTGGCGGCGGGGCAAGGAAGCGAGAGGCCTAGGCCCGATGCGGGCCGCAGGAGGAGGCGGAGGGCGGCATTGTTTTTTCTTTTTTCCCTCCCCCCCCCCTAGCGAAACCCATGGGATGGCGGTAAGCGGCCGGAACCCGAGTCCGAAAAAGCTTCCCGTGTGCCGCTGACCGTCTTCCCTTGCCGTAGGAGACGAGATAGGAGCCGGGATAGGTTCTAGGCCTTGGGCTTGTAGTAAAGCCCGAAGGGAATTCTAGTTCCTCAAACCCTTTCTGTCAACTGAGAAAACTTTAAATTGGGACCATGTTGAAGGTACCCCTGAAGAAATTTGGGAAATGGCCGGAGTGAAGTTGGGGGGGACGGGACATTTGAGGCTTTCCCTTTGTCATCTCCCCAGTGTTAAAAGGATAGGGAGGGCTGGAGGTGTAAATACGGTCATTTACAGGGGATTATTTGACCACTACACTTACATACCTGAGTGATCAGATGAAAGAGGCAGCTTTGACAACTGGAGGCTGCAGTCAGTGACAGCACATCTAATGTAAACATTCATCACACAGCCTTGTGAAAAGGGGCAGATGGAGAGAGGTTCTGGACAAGGCCCTGTTGTGCTTAGTATAATACAAGGTGGTGTGGATGCTACAAAGCTGCACATTCCACTCGTACTACTACAAAATCTATCAAGCCCTTTGATTCTTTTGCCAGAAATCTCCCCGTAACAATTAATCTCAGTTCATAGATGAGTGGTACCACTGGTTAACATTGACTATTTTGGTTAGATTGTGTGGGATATATTTTTAAGGGGGGAAATGGAGAGGATGTGTTATTGAAACTGGTATCAAATGCCTTAAAGATTTTTCATTGTCGCCTGTATATGGTAAAAGGTATTCTCCATTTAGTAAATAAATAAAAACATTCTGCATCCTGCAGATGAAATAATTCTGTTGGACTGTGTGCATAGTCCAAGGTGTTTCAGCCAAGGTGGTACTTAAGACTTATTTGAGAATAGTCTCCCATTAAACACAATGAAATATACATAGTTATGATGTAGCACATCAAAAAGAAGCTTGACTTGGTTGAACATAGGCATCGTGTTAATTGTACTACTCTGAATAAATCCCAATACTGTATTGGAAATAGAATGTTTGTAATAAATTGGAATTAGGGTTGAAAAACCCAGAATTACTTGATATTAAGTTTGTAAAATGACATAGCACTAGTTAGGATCTAGACAATTGTGAAACTAGTTCCATGACTTAAGAGGATTTCTAGGCTTGATTTATTTTGGACAGCAGCTTCTCCATGCTGCATGGCAAACTGTTTTTAAAAAAGATATTTCAAAACACAGCTTGAGAAATCTGTACTTGTTATTTCTTTCAGGCTCTTAAATACTCATCAAAGAGTCACCCCAGTGGTGGTGATCACCGGCATGACAAGATGCGAGACACCACAGACCCTTCACCACCAAATAAAATGTTGCGGCGATCTGATAGCCCTGAAAACAAGTATGGTGACAACACTGGACACAGTAAAGCTAAAAGCATGCATACTCACAGAGTTAGAGAAAGGGATGGTGGTGAGTTAAACTTTAACTGATTTGTATTCAAAATACTGCTAGTAATTGAAATAAATCTTGCACCAAAACAAAGCACATTCATTGAGGTGAAGAATTTACCTCACCATTGTTTCAGTTCATTCACAACACTGCCACAGGTTCCTTATCCCTGTGTTAGGGGGCTTTAGACCTGGCTGCTTTTGTTGTCTAGTCAGGACGGCTTCATAAACCTGGGCTTTTTGTAGAAACTGCCCTCCAGTGCAATCTAGCATGGTGGCGTTTGAAGGAAATGATACTGTGTCTTTTGGTAGGCAGGCCTTCATGTGCCTGATATAAAATTTGTTCTTCCCGTTAAGTACAGTTTACAAGAGAGACAGTGTAGTGTAATGTCCCTGTACTGGAGGTATCTGGCTTCAGATACCCTTACTCAAGCTTAAAGCTTGCTGGATGGTCTTGGGAAGCTACACATCTCACTCAGCCAAACCTTGCATTCAGGGAAATTATGAAGATAATGGGGTTTACCATAAATACGCTGAAAAGAGCTATATGTTGAAAGATAGGGATCCAAATGTTATGAATAAAATAAAGTGAACAATTAGTGAAGTAAATATATAAAACAAATTCTTAATGCAGTGAGTTAACACAGTTCTTGTGTCTTGGTTTTATTAAACAAAATTTATATACCATGTTATTGTAATAAAACCTATTACATGGTTATTTGAGATTTGTAAGAATAGAAATAACAGTAATTCCATGAAGCATTTTCTTTAATGCTAAGGCTATTACAAATCAGCATTTAAGTTTCTTGGGACAGTGAGGAGGTTTTTGTTTTTGACAAATTATCATGTTAGGTATCCTTACTGTCACACAGCTATCATATTGTTGTAGTTAAATGCTCTGATAATAACTGCACCCTAGTGCTATAGAAGAAGAAACTTTTCAGGTTCTGTTATATTTCATATTCGCCACTGCACTTTGAAGGTTGTAATTGACAGCCCAAATCCTGTTCTTATCTATAGCTGTTGTGATGAAGGGACAACTACAGTGCCATCTTGCATGAAGTGTAACTACATCTCAAGAAGTCTGATTCTAAAAAGAGAAAGTCTCATTCCAATACTCCACTGGAGATTCTCACTAATGTTGGATGAATGGGGCTGCTTCTGAAACTGTATGGGATTGTGTATGTCCCATGTCCCCACCTTCTCCTTGCCCCTTGCTCCCTGTTCCCGAGGTTTTCATGTGATGTTCATGGGTAGTGTTAGGACTTTCCTCCAGTACTGGAATAGCATTGATGAAGCTGCTGATCTGGTAAAGGCAGCATCTGCCTACAGGCCTGTGATGCTTTTCTGCCACACTATAGTAGAGTAATGGGCCTTTAGTAGTTTTTACTACAGGTGTGCAACTGCCACAAAATTCAACTTGTATCTATAGCTTTGAGAAGTCGCCAATTCTGTTACTCAGAACTAAATTGGATATGATAAAAAATCAAGCTCTCTTTTCTTTCTGTTAACTATTATGGGGAATCAAAAAATGTCCATAACCACCTCCCCCTTCACAGAAGTGGATGGGGTTTTCAGGCACAGCAGCCCCTCCAGAGTGGATTTTTTGTATTTTTTAATGCATTTTTACAACTTATAAATACATCATACAATATTCATCATTCTCTTGTCCTTGGACTTCCCAGTCCATCTCTCCATGGCATTCTAGGTAGTCTTTTGTCGGCTGCATAATCTATTATTCCACCCAATTTCGTCTCAAATCTTCCTTTATTTAATGTTATCTGCTGCTCATATGTTCATTCCTGCTTGTAGGCTGAATTGACTATTATACCCTCTAAGATACTCTCTAAAACACTTTGAAGAGTGGATTAAGCCTTCCAATTTAGAGGCAGATGCATCCGGGAATTTTAAAAGTTTGTTAAAAGAAAAAAATCCTGTTATTTTCTGCCAGGTGTGGTTGCAATTTGCAGGCATGCTCCCCACTTTGGTGGGGGTGAAATTGCCAAATTTCAGCTGCAGTAATTCCCCTTCAAAGCCATGATTTTTACTATTTTGGGGTGGTTGTGGTAGGAATCATAACATGGTAGCTGTGGAGGAGAAACACCCCCAGGAAAGACTGGAGTGGGTAAAATATCACCCTGAAAGGATTTTATTACACCTAGGGTCATTGGTAGATTTGGGGTGGGCTTCTGCCCCCATCAATGATTTTTTGGGATATAGCCTTTTCTTTTTGTGACATATCACCATTGACTTGCATAGAGAAGGGGTGTTGGCATTGGGGGGGAAATAGCATAGGTTAAAATAAACAGCATAGATTGAAATGAGCAGCAATTTTTAATGTTTTCTTGAACATTTCCCCCCCAAATTGGTGTGCTCTGGAAAATAATTAATTGTGATTAAAATCTAGACCTCTTCATCAAATTGAAAGATTCTCCTTGCCCTCCTGCTCCCTCCCCATCTAAGCTTAGTGTTTCTCTAGTCAGCTTGGCTTTACAGTGGTACCTCTAGTTATGAACTTAATTCGTTCCAGAGGTCCAT